AACTATTAATCTTGCTTATTAAAAATCCACAAATATATGCATTTTTACATATCCCCAACTCTCAGCTAACCGTTTGTGACGGGCTCACGCGTCTTTTCTTTAACATAACCTCTGGGTTCTTTGAAGGCCAACATTAATAGCAACTCTTTTCCAACCAAAATCCAAGAAGCGAAATGCGAATAATAAATGAAAATAAGATAGCTTTTAAAAGAACAGAAGTTTCAGTAAGCAGGATGGCAATTTAGGGAAAGTTATGTTTGGAAGAGATACGAGCGTGAATTGACAGCCTATTGTAAAGTTACCGGGACACCCAACCACTGCTACAAGGTGCATACCATTGCACGCGCGCCCAGACGTTTCCATATAGATATCGAATCTTAGTTTGGATTAAGGTAGGACTGATTATTTGGTATTAGGACTTGTAATATTATCAGAAGTAAGAGTAGGTGGATAATATAATTATTTAGATAAAGTGGTCTAAATTACGCGATTCGGTTTAACTATTTTTGTGTGTTAGTTCATTCTAGATTCTCATTTATATAAATTTATCTAAATTGTTAGACGTTTAAGTTATATTCTTAATAAAGTCATATTAAGAATTTAAAATGTCTGTTCATTTTGAGAATCCCACACCTCTAGCTCACGCTGACAATCAAAGATATGGGCCCCACAGGGGGGGCGCCATATCACACGTTCATTGTGGCAGAGTAATGGTGTGAAGAAAGTACTGATTTGTATAAATAACAAAAGGCTATTATTTGAAAAAGATTCAACTTTATTTTTTCGCAATAACCATTCACCAGAATGATATATTTATATAAAGATTATTTGAACTCTCAGAATCATATTTATTAAAATATTTTTGGGTTCTAGGGTTTTCTACTATCTTAAGAGTTCCGGAGTGAGTTAATGCATAAAGCAAGTTGCAACGATTTTGAATTAGATCTGAGAATACGTGTAGATAGTTTGGGTGTAAAAAGGAGTCTACGGACGAGATATTAAAAGTGAGACCTGTCCAAAAGCAAAGATTTTCACAAAGTTGGTTTAGAGTGTTCAAAATTTCTCATCACTTCTCTTACTTTTCGGTAGTTAACTCTAATCTCATGAAATGTTTTTTTCTCAATCTGAATAGAATAGTGAGTGAGTGAATATTTATATCGCACTATTAAGCTACTCGAGGGCTTTTGGCTGCGAACCTCGTAATTTTGAACCATGATCAAGTGACGAGCACAACACTTGAGCTAGCACTCCTTCTGCTAATTTCCACACTACACCAACAGAAGGAAGTTTGAGCCTCGACAAATTTAACGTTCATCTCCCCTTACACGGTGGGTCTTCAACGGTACTAGGCTCGAGCTCATGACACACCGGCCACGAATCCGTTACCTTGACCACTAGGCTACCGTGGTCACCTGAACAGAGTAACAGTTTACCTCAGTTTTCCGTGTAAACTTCATTGGTATTTGGAATGAGAAATAAAAAGTGAAAGGAAGAGGGAAGCATGCAGGGCATCACTTTGCTCTGTTGCCCGGAAGTGCTCTGAGATGAATTACAGACATTTTTTTTTATCTGAATTATTGTCTATTGATTAAAACTACACGCGAGTTTTTGTATTTACTACGACTTATTTGCATTTGGCAAATATCAATAGATCAATAGCTTAACTTAATAAAGAAAGCAATTATTGACTTTATATATTATAGTTTATATATTGACTTTATATATTTTATAGTCTTTCATAGCGAAAATAATTAAATAATATTATAATAATAATAATAGCGAAATCAGTAATTCCACTCTACTGATTTTGAAGTTTAATTATCGAGACGAACATATTAATTCTTCTATCACTTTCAGTAGCAACTGAAAAGACTTTTACGATTTTTATAAATTAGGATTATAGAGATTCGAATTGTTCACCCACTCACACCTATATATTGTAGTAAAAATATGAAACTTTTATTAAAAATTTGGCAAATTATCCTAGTAATTATATATTAAAGATAATTGTGTGATATCATTAAGTTTAAAATGCTTTAATTTGGTTTATAGTTTCAGGCAGATTTAATCACTATTGTACAACACAAAAGGCAGCGATGATGGTTTCACGATTTTGGAGCCGATCCCTTTTCTCCTTAAAATTTCTTAAATTGTAAGATTATAAGAAATTTATCAGGCTGGAAAAATATAAGGTCGAGTTAAAAGTAACTTCCGTTGCTTTATCAGATATTTATTTTGCTCTCATTAAATAAAAAAATTACATTAATTTATTACGTATTCACCACCCTTATCTATAACCGCCTCCCATCGTTCTGGTAGTTTATAAATTCTTTCCTTGTAAAATATGGCTGGTTAGACTGGAAGAAGTTTTCGACAGCCTGCGTAATTTGCTCTTCAGAATTGAAAGTTATTCCATTAAAAATTGTTTGTAGGGAACAGAAAAGGTGGTAGAGTCTGTCGGGGCAAGATCCGGGGAGTAAGGAAGATTTGGTAAAATAGACCATCCAAACTCAAGAATTTTTTGTTGACTCACCTTTTCTGTATGTGGTCGCGCATCGTTGAGCAGAAGGATGACATTTTTGCGATTGGCAAGTACAGGACGCTTTTCACGGAATTTTTCTTGAACTCTTTGCAGTTGCTGAACATATCTATCCGCAGTAATCGTTAAATTTGGCTGCAACAACTCATGGTAAATTATTTCTCGACAATCCCACCATACACACAATAAGATTTTTTTGCCGTGGATGCTTGCTTGCTTTCGGATCGGAAAGGGGTGATTCATCTTTATCAAGCCACTGTCTTTTGAAAACTATATTCTCGTAGGTGACCCATTTTTCATCACCTGTTACAATCCTGTTTAAAAAGGGCTCCATTTTTACCCGTGAGAGCACACTTGTGGCGATTGACATGCGATCTTCTTTATTCCGTTCACTCACACACACACAGATTGTGAGGTACCCATACTCCTATATATAACTTGCTGACTTTCCCTAATTTCTTCAGGTGGCGGATAACTGTTGATTGCGATTTATTCCACCTTTCTTCTATACATCTTCCCGATTGATGTGTGGAGTTTGCTCCAATACTGCCTTTAAAAGGATGTCGTCGAAGTCAGATGGACGTCCTGCTCTCGGTTCGTCTTTTAAAGTCATATCTCCAAAACGGAATTTTACGAACCGATTTCTAACTGCCCGATCAGTTACAATCCTTCACCATACACTCTGCATATTTTTTCGGCTGTCGTCTTAGCGCTATTTTGTCTTGTTTAAATTCACAAAGCATCACATGACGAATATGTAGTTTTGGGCTCCCCTCTCCATTTCAGAGGATAAAAAAGCAGTTTATTTTAACGTGTATCATACAAAGTTGTTGACGAAAGACTAACGGAAACCTCGTGTAACTAATGAAAACAAAAAACTCGTTGTCACGGTAACTCATAGAGGGTAAATTCGAATATTAGATTCTACACATAGCTGCGTCGGAAGTTACTTATGACTCGATCTTATATAAATCCAAATTATATCACATGGAGTCTTATAATGAAAAAGGTCTAGAACTTTTGACTAGACCAATAAGTCATTTGGTCCATTTTTGTTAAATAATGGTTTCCGCAAAACAGTTGACAATTTTTCGCACAACCCTAATATCAAATCTGATGCTTAAGTTATTAAAAGTGTAAGGGGTCTCAGACGCTGAAAATACAAACAATTTTCAAATAGATATAATTATTTGGAATTAAAATGAGATAATATTTGAATCTTTTACACATTATTTATAAAGGAATAAAGTTTAAAAAAGTACAAAAATGTTTATATATATAAAATATAGTCATAATTTAAAAAAATTATAAGCATATGAAATTACGAAACATTTCTGTAAAAAATAATATGTAAATTTTACGTTGAGCGTGGTATTTTCTAAAATAGTAGCCTTTGATGCATAAAACTTTATAGAATTATAAAATGTACCATGCTCTTTAAACCCTACCTAATTTTAGTATTATATATCTTTTGTATTTTAAAATATTTAAAAAATATTTAAATTAAAAAAAATGTTTTTTTTAATGTGTAATTTTTTTATTTTTTAAAAAATATAATTTATTCTATTTATATAAAAATAGCTACAGTGTAATAAGGATACATTTAACTTTATAAATCAACTTATTGCTAGTATAATTAGAGCTACTATTTTAGAAAAGATGATGCGCAACGTAAAACTTAATATTTCTTACAGAAATGTTTCCTATTTTCTCTCTCATATGCTTATAATTTTTTAAATTATGATTATATTTAAAACATTTTGCACTTTTTTGAAGCCTAATTCCTTTATAAATAATTCGTAAGACACACACATTCAGATTATTTAACATTAATTTCAAAGAATTATATCTATTTGAAAATTGTTTATGTTTTTAGCCATCGAGACGAAAGTGCAAACCTTAGACCCCTTTTAATATTAGATGCAATTTATAATTTTTTTTCCGATTCAATTCTCTTACAACAGTTTTAAATTGAGATGTAATTTTTAAATCATGATTTTTTTGCTCAATTTTCATTAAATATTTATGAGATTGGATTTTGATTAATTTATAAATTGGTCTAGTATATATATATATGTTACCGTTAAATTGTGAAATGCGTTATTTCATGGAATAACTAGGTATTTCATGAAATAACTAGACACAATTCAGTTAAAGTATGTAAAATTATTGAATTCTACGATTTAACTAGATATCCTGTAGAATAACGATTACTTGATCGTGTGTGTGTTAAAGTATTAAATACGGCACTCGAAAGTTCTTTGAACCGGTTCTAGCTGCTTTAGGAAGGATTTTTCCGATTAGATACTACAGATGACCGAAAAAAACAGTTGTACTCTGGATATCAATTCAGTATATATCAGCGAAAATTAATTTCCATTGAAAAAGTTGCAAATATTGACACAATGCTTCGATCTGTTGCAACAGCTTAAAGTTGCTGTACTGAACAAGGAGTCTCCCAGCCAGTATGGTGGCTATGACTCTCGGCTTGTAACCGAGTGGGCTCGGGTTTGATTTCCGAGTAAGACATGGTTGTATTTAATTCGGGAAAGAAGTCGGTCTTTCGCCTGTAATGGATTCCCGTCTCGAAAGGAAAGCAGCGCACTCCTTCTTGTTATATGCTGGGATCATCATATGTAATAAATGTGTATATTCTTCTATTGTATTATATGCTTTCTGTTCTTCTTCAATTGTATTTCAAATGTTTCAAGGATAAAAAACACAAGTCAACAACAACTGAACAAGAATTTAAAAAGTGCTCTCGTGTAAAAAAAAAAAATGTGTAATATATAGTAAAAAGCATGCTTGTTTCACAAAAATAATAAACATTGCAATATCCAAAGTGTCATCACAGCAATCCTTGCTCTAATAAATAATGAAAAGTAAGATAAAGGTATCTCATAAAATTTAAATTAATATTCTCTTGCATTTTTGTATTAAAAAGTTTACGCACAATGTTTTTGTGTATCAACCCTCCTTTTCCTTCCCAGCATGTATTTTTGTTGATAATATTTAAATATAATCTATTTTTATAACATATTCTTTTTTTTCTCTTTCTGTTTAACTAAAATATTAACAATATGTGGAATAATAAATTATATCATCTGTTTTCCCTTATTATTTATAAATTATTCATCCGCAAAAGGGATAAAAAGCATTTTTTGAGAGATTTCAGCTATTTATGATCAATCAATTTATAAAATATCTTTGAAAGTGGTTTTTTTTTTCGTTTTAACAGCTAATCCTTAGCTATTTCATAGAAGACCTAGTTATTTCATAGAGTAACTAAGTAAAGTATGAAATTTTTCATCTATTATATACTTAAACTGACTTGTATAGTTATTTCATGAAATACTTATAGTTATTCTATGAAATAACTGAATTATATACTTTAATGGTAAGATATGTTACATATTCAAATGGTCAAACATTCCCACGAAACAAACTTTTTAGATTTGATTTAATTTTAATTTACATCATACTTTGAAGCTCCGCTAAAGGTAAAGGATCTCATAATTTTAAACCACTGTCAAGTGATGAGGACGACTCCTAAGCTGGCACTCCCCTCTCCGAACTTCCACATCTTGCCAACGGGAGGACGCTTAACAGACTAAGAAATTTGAATAATTACTTCTTTATTAACCCTTTATATATATATCTACCGCATTATGATTTACTGCAGTTTTTTTCATGCAATATTTTTTTTTTGGATCCCTACATTAAAAGTTAAGGGATATACATTAATAAAGTACTCAAATTTGGGAAATTTAATCCGTTAGAGCTAATTAATTAATTAAATATATTCAACCGTAAAATTAATTATACACACTGTTCTCTTAAAATAAATAGTCAAATCGTTTTCTAAGGTCTTCATTAACATACAAAAAAAAAAAAAAAAATAAGACACTTAAATTTTGACATTAACTATTTTTTCGGAACAAAAATGATAATCTTCGTAATCCACTGAAAACGCCGTCAGCTGAAAACGCAATTTCTGCTCTAACACTATTCACCTTCCCCACTCATAATAGAACCCATGCTGCCATATATCTTGGTAGAGTAGATTTCTAAGAATATTCCTGCTAATTATCGTCAGAATATTCGTAAATATATGGTTATTCTATATAATTTTTAAGTGCGTGGTACTTATAAGAACCATCGGTAGATAAAGGGTTAAATGTGGTTTACACATAAATTTCAGAATGAGATAACAGAACTTCAAACAACTTGACTGAAGGGAGAAATAAATACACATTCCAGCACACACAAAACTGATTTTTGAGGAAAGAAGAGAATTACTATTAAATCCACAGATTCGGAGGATTATATGTTAAATTTTCATTATTTACTGTGAGAGGAAATGAAATTATATCTCATGCTATCGGTATTAATCTCAAGACCAAGCTGGTTCTCTTTATTTTTAACCTCGAATTTTATCTAAGAATAGCAAGTTAGAATATGTAGTTCAATTTAATTACAGTCGGTGGGCCTCAATAAACGAAGTCTTAAATCCCGGAAAAAAGTTCGTTATATGGAAAATTCATTATATAGAGGTTCATCTTTTCATATACCTTATAAACCACATAAAACAAATTTTAAGAGTCCATAAACACTATATATTAAAATAAATAAGTATTCATAATTTTTTGTAAATATCTTAATTATCAAAAGAAAGAAAAATTGCAAGGAAAGTTTCTTGACGCCTTTATCCACTTCCTGAAGAATTAAATGTATTTCTTTAATGCTCAAGCAATTAAGTCTTGACATTTCCGAGCTACAAGAAACAAAGTTGCCAGTACGTCTTATCAACACTATAAATGAACGGAGTCTAGTTCAAGGACACGAGACAACTCAACTGAGGGGGAAAGGGGATATCGAAGATGTTTACAGTGAACTGGATAATGGGGGTCAAAGGTTGCACTTCTTGGATGAAACGCCCAGAATTTTATTGCTCTGGGCGAATTAGGCACCTAATAAAAACCATTTCAAAATTTATGACCACTATAAAATGTGTTAAAAGAGAGAATAACTTGAAATGTCTAGAAATACTTTAAAAATAGGGAGAAAAAAAATTGAATTACAAGAGAAAAGGTTCGTTATATAGAAAATGCACTTCGCTATAGAGAGGTTATTTTACGAAGAAAATCGTGAAATGTTCCTGGTTCCAGAAAAAAGTTCGCTAAATAGAAAAATTCACAATATAGAGATTCGTTATTCAGAGATTCGACTGTATTAGCATATTTGTATAAACAGCTTCGCAAAAGGACAATAAGTTTATTGGATGAAGTTGAATAGACGGAAAAAATAATAAATTATAGTAGATGAAACTATTAAAATGATAGTGACAAAATGGCTTTTTTATGATCTATATGCTCTGATTCGTAAAGTATTTACTCCTAATTTGGAGGAAACTGTATTGCGCTCTGTGTGTTGCCCTTGAATTGTTTACCGAAGTGTAAGTAATATTTGCAACTCGTGATAATGATGTACATGATAATAATTTAAAAAATTGCTTTAATACGTAGTATGTATCTTCTGTATTTGTTCTAGGGATTAAATATGTCCCCCCCCCCCCTCTCCAGTCAAGTTTTTCATAACTTCTTGCTTGTATGTTAAGGAAGCCGACTACGTTCGGAACCGTGATTTTAAAATAGCGCATAAATGGATAATTTTCATGATATTTAGAATACATGTATAAAATTGTTTTAAGGACATTTTGACAAAAAAA